GTTCAACCAACTCGCCGAGTCCATGCTCCTCAAATCCCAAACAACCCCGACTCCACTCGTTGAGTCTAGCGAGAACTCGACGAGTTCTCATTCATCTAACACTTCGGGACTATCTTCAACCGACTCGCCGAGTTCATCTTCATCAGCTAAGAAGATTGCCTTGGACTCGCCGAGTTCCTCCTTGAACTCGTCGAGTACCATGATCTTCATTTCCATTACAGACACAGACTGGCTGAGTCCTTTTCTAACCCCACTCACTGATCCGACTCATAAACAGAAGGGTTTGGGGTTTTTGCGACCCGACTCGCCGAGTTCATGAGCTGACTCGCCGAGTCCTCCTTGTGACAACTCTATTCTGTCGATTTCAGTCTATTCCAACACTTCCAACTCATAGATCTAGACTCCTTATGCTAGCATTGCACGTAAAGTTGCTGACTTTACGTGCATGCAAGGGGTTATGAGGCTAGAACACCAAAATCAAGCTATAATGGAGGTCTAAGTCATGAAAGGAATCCATAGCTGAGTAAAGCTTCTCACTCAGAGCTTCTAGAGCTCAGAAATGCTCAGATCTAATCTCTATTCATCCTCAAAGGCTCAATACTCGGGTTTGGCCTTAGGAATGGTCCCAAAAGTCTCATAAAAGGGACATGAAGAGATCTAAGAAACCATAGATCAAGGTAAGAGCTTGATTACCAGAAAGTGATTAGGAAGAGGGACTCCTTCTGGATCTACAATCACTCCTTAGCTCTTCCAACTCCTTCTTCTTCTAGACTTCAAATCACTCAAGAACACACAATAATAGCTCACACTTCCATGGAGGACATTAGGGTTTCGCTCTGGACAGTGGGGGCTGTAAATGAAACCCTAGAAATGAAAATGAGATGCTTAAATAGGGTGCCAAGTCCCGAAATTAGGGTTTCCCAACCCAGACCAGACTCGCCGAGTCAGTCTCCCCGACTCGTCGAGTCGGTCACTTAATCCGCGACACGGGTCACGCTCCGACTCGTCGAGTTCCTCCTTGGACTCGACGAGTTGACTCCTTTGACTTGGGGCTTTTCTTTCCTTTCCTGGTCTTCCTGATTCTGGGTGTTACATGTTGGTCATATCTCGGATAAATATAGTTGATCAGGTTATATTTATTCCAGATATGATTACATAACTATCCAGGTTTAACCGTAGTGTCCAACTTATCTTAAATACTTTTATGTAGTTCTTACTGTGATACTGTTTCTAGTGTGTATGTATACTTGTATACTTTTTTATAAAATATTTAGATTTTAAAAGTATACTTTTAGTTCAGAGCGCTTCGGCCCTTTAGCGTTTATAGCTGTATAACATGTAAGGTTTGATATACTTAGTTCACTATAAACAATAGCTTTGATACCAATCTGTCACACCCCCAAACTGAGATGGCGGAAATGTTCGGGGGTGGAGGACGTCATGTACAGTATCACAACAATTGCATCATAGTAATAAAAGTAAACACAACCATTACATTGAATATATATAAGGAATTTACATTTGTTCGATACATAGTTTGTATACAGCAAAAGTATAACAAAAGTATAAAAGACGTGACTCTATAAGCTCCGTCTTCTCAAAAGCCTACGGGCGTACCTGTCTACTGATTCCCTGAGAATACAAGCGATTTTGAAAGTGTATCAACATTTAAGTTGGTGAGTTCATAAGAATGTTTTTGTAATGGAAACTTGTCTTTGAATCTGTGAAAATGTTTGTATGCTTCTCGAGAAAATCCAATATTTTCTTTTGAAGCGCAGAGTGGTCTTAAACCCTAAGACCAAAAATGTATGTTCGTTACTGTATTCTGTAGTAGTATGTGAAAATGTTAGTTTGTATGCCTGGTTACCACCGGCTGTACTGTATGGCGTTGTTTTGTACGAAAAACCTTTGTATGAAAACTCTAGCAATCACCAGTATGGTATGGAAATTTTATTACTTAAAATAAAACCATATGTTTATATCCCCTGGAATATCTTCAGGAAAAACCTTTATACCGATTGGTTTTACGACCGAAAATGGGTTCTCGGCTATAAACGGGTTTACGACCCAGGAGTTTACAGCCCAGGGGTTTACGGCCGTAAACGCATGGCTGGACGAGTTTGCTGATTTTTCGAGGGAAATCTTGATTTTTTGAGTGTTTTTGGTTCTGAAAACTTATATAACCTCTAACTATATATCTTAGATTATTTTCTAACCCACAATAACTTAACGGAACAAAAAAAAAATTTGAAATTTTATTTAACGAAAATTGACTTTTGATGACTAGAAAGTATCGAGTTGTCACATTGGACGTGAAGGCTTAATGGATTAAGTCACAAATGAAGTCCCAAGAAAGCTGGCCAGTACGCTAAGCGTACACCCTGGTACGCTGCGCGTACTGGGTCAACTTCCCGTTTGCGGTCAATGCCAACGTACGTTGGGCGTACGTGCCAGGTACGCCGCAGGTACGCATACAGAGTGGCTACCTTGGGCTTTTTGGGCTTTAGAGGGTTGGGCCTGGACTATTGGGCCCCGTGTCCCACTGTGGAGTATAGTTCTGGGCCTAGGAATTGGAATTAGAAGTATTGAGCCTTTTGGGCCATATCGGGCCACTCGAGATTATTCATTTTTGGGCTAAGGATTTATTAGACTTGTGAAAAGGCCCATTTGAAGAGTTGGGCCCAATTTAAAAAATTGGGCCATTAGTGGGCCCTTAGGGAGCCTTTGATGGGCCATGGGTGCACTGGGTATAATAAGTTAGAATTAGGCCTTGGGAATGGTTCAAGTTAGGCCAAGGGGGTAAAATGGTCATTTTACCCTAAGTAGTGTTATAGATTTTGATTGAGTGTTATTATGATTATGATAGTCGGGAGTCATCGGAGCAGCTACTAGAGATTACTTCCCGTGAGATTCGACAGTCAGCTTTGTGAGGTGAGTTACCTTCTAGTAGAGGTGGGTCTACGGTCACAATGTCGGCCCACTAGTAGGAGTTGTTTGCTAGATGATTGTCTTTGTGATAATTATCTAGGTTTGCTACTACCTGTTATGTTTTATGTGCTAGTATGATATGATGATATGTGATAGTAGCAGTAGGGGGAGTAGTCCCCGTGACACGGTCGTAAGGACCTGAGGGTAGGTCGGGCACCCCAGAATTGCCTGGCAGGGTAGGTCAAGCACCCCAGAACTGCTCGACATGGGTAGGTCGGGCACCCCAGAAATGCCTGGCAGGGTAGGTCGGGCACCCCAGAATTGTCCGACAGTATGTATGTTGTATGGTATATGGTATGATGGGGAAACTCACTAAGCTTTGTGCTTACAGTTTCAGTTTTGTTTTCAGGTACCTCTTCTTCGAAGGGGAAGGAGCCGGCACAGTAGCAGCGCATCATGCACACACAGGATTTCCGCATTATGAGATTCATGGGATTGTACTCTGACATTATTACTATTTTATGTTATGGGTTGAGACATGTGACTATGATTTGATGAAATGATACGATTTGATGATGTTTTTCAGTAAACAATTTTTTAAGCTACTTAATTAAAAATGAAATTTTTAGTCATGAATTTTGGGACGTTACAAAAAGTTTTAATTTTTTTTAATAATAAAAATAATCTAATAAAAAAAACAAAAAAATGATATCAAATCAAAATAAATGATTGATTAAATTGATGTTAGGGGGTAAAATTAGTTAAGGGAGGTACTTATAGCACAACCCGTTTCTAATTCATGTTATTGACGAAATTTACATGAGAATTCGAGCTTCTTCATCTTCATTTATGTCAGTTTTTGAAACAAATCCGCCATTGTTGAAGCAGAAGCAGTACATAAGATGCTAAATCTAATCGTATCTCCAATCCAGGGTTCACCCAACCCTGATTTATCAGCAGCAATTGTTGCAAATATTTTGGTATTAATTGTCCTTGATTCAAACAAATCAATAATTGAATCTTCAGGAGCCATTTCCTTTTTTTTTATCAAAACCTCAACCAAAAGCAACAACAATTCACAAGTGATTCACGATTGTTTAAGGGGACTCTACAATCTATTCATCTGGTTTCATCATAAACTCGTACACAAGAAACTTTGTAGATCCCCTTATGATGAAACCAAGTAAACCAACCAAGTTCTGGTGATGGATTTGTGTAATAGTTGTAACTTCTGCTCGGAACCACCTTTTTCCTTCAAACATCCATTCTAGTCGATTTAGCCACCGACAATGTAGGTTACCAATTGAGAAAGATAATCAAGAGAGAGAGAGAGAGGGGGGATTATAACCAAAAAATACAAACATGGTTGATGCAGAATAGAAACGGTTGAAGCTTATTTGGAGTTGGGTTTGTGAGTCGATTTAGCCACCGCAAAGATAAGATAACCCTTGTAATTACCAGTGAATATATCAAAGATATTTGATCTCCATGTCACTATTGGAACGGGGTCTGTAGTTTTGCAACCCTTTCCCTAGTCCATCGGACTCGTATTAGATATCATACCTAACTTCTCTTCGAAGAATAGAACGTAAATTAATAACACGATCAAATGAGAGAGAGAGAGAGAGAGCTTTTTGCTTATACTAACATAATGTAATCAGTCAATTTCTTTCTTCGTTTTGTTTTTCCCTTTAATTTGTTAATAGATTTTAGTTTACATGTATTAGTGATGTTGAGGAACAAATCCAGATGATGGGTTCAATTGGTTTGAAGATGATGGGTTGTAGAATGCTTTGAGTGAGAGACCTTTCTATATTAAATAACATATTTCATTTTTTTAAATAAGACAAAAATCTCATAAATAGTCTCTGTGATAGTGAAATGATGTAAATATCCTTTTATTTTAATCAAATAGTAGTTAACAGTCAAAAGTGATGCCGTCAACAAAAATGATCGTTTGTTAAAAATTTTGAAACCACAAGGACCATCTGAAAGGTTTTTTGAACTTAAGGACTATATGTCAGATTTTTGGAAAACACAAGACCATTTATGAAGTTTTTTCTATTTTTAAACCTACTTCTCAAATACCCTATTTTTATTTTTTTATAAATAAATAAACTCAACGTGCTAAACCTATCACAAACACATGCATTAAAAATAAATGCACATTCCATCTCACTTCCCTTATAACTTATAAGTCCGATTAAACCTTTGTTCCTGTGCATTTCGGGCTCTTACTCTTCACACCTGTCAATACTCAACATGAGTAAACAGAACACCGAGACCAGAAGGAAAGTCAGCAGCAGTGGATCATTCCGATCCATTTTCATGCATGCCGACGCTGCCGACATGTTTCTGATGGCTATTGGTTTCTTAGGTGCCTTCTGCGACGGAATTGCGACGCCTGCCAATTTTCTTTTCACCAGCACCATTATGAACAGCATTGGAGACTTCTCTTCTTTATCCAAAGATATCTTCATTGACAAAATCAACAAGGTTAATTAATGTTAAATCAATATACTAATTAATCATCATCAACAATCTAACGGGGTTTTTATTTCATGTTTGCAGAATGCACAATATCTTTGTTTCTTAGCTATTGGGAAATGGATTGCCTGTTTTGTTGGTAGGTTTTGCTCGATTTCCATTTTGTTTTATCATTCCTCGATTAAATGAGTTTTGTTGCAGAGGGGTATTGTTGGGCAAGAACAGCAGAGAGGCAAGCATCAAAGTTGAGGTCGAATTATTTGAAAGCAGTTTTAAGGCAGGAGGTGGCGTATTTCGATTTGAATGTTACAAGCACAGCAGAGATCATTACAAGTGTTTCCAGTGATAGTCTCATCATACAAGAAGTCATCAGCGAAAAGGTACGTTAGACTTCTGGTGATTCATTCAAAAGGGTTTGACTCAAATTGTAATTTTATGTGGAAACAAAAACGCAGGTGCCTGTCTTCGTGATGTATGTGTCGTTTTTTTTGTGGGGCATATGTTGTGGCGTTTGTATTGCTATGGAGGCTAGCAATTGTTGCGCTTCCATTTATTGCAGTTTTAGTTATACCTGGTTTGATTTACGGAAGGGTTCTGATGAGGTTATCAAGAAAGATGAGGGAGGAGTACAATAAGGCTGGTGCGGTGGCGGAACAGGCGATTTCTTCCGTGAGGACTGTTTATTCATTTGTCGGTGAAAATAAGAGCTTAACAGAGTACTCTGCTGCTCTAGAAGGAAGTGTGAAGTTGGGAATAAAGCAAGGATTGGCTAAAGGAATAGCGATTGGAAGCAATGGTGTGTCTTATATCGTCTGGTCTTTCTTGTGTTGGTATGGTAGTAGGCTGGTGATGTATGATGGAGCAAGAGGTGGAACTGTGTATGCTGTTGGAGCTGTCATCACCTATGGTGGAATGTAATTTTTTTTCCTTCTCTTATTTCATCAAACAGGTTGTCTGCATTATACTTGCATATCTTGTTTTTTTGAAATGGATTTTTATGTATGTCTTAATAAATCCAATAACGACAGATCCCTCGGAAATGCATTATCGAACCTGAGGTACTTTTCCGATGCAATGGCAGCTAGTGAACGTATAAGGGAAGTGATAAAAAGAGTTCCGGAGATTGATTCAGATAACATGGAAGGGGAAATATTACAAAAAGTTTCCGGAGAAGTGGAATTCAAGAATGTAAAGTTTGCGTACCCATCAAGACCGGAATCGGTGATATTCAAAACTTTAGCTTAAAAGTTCCAGCAGGGAAGACGGTGGCGTTGGTAGGTGGGAGTGGATCGGGAAAATCGACGGTGATTGCATTGTTGCAGAGGTTTTATGATCCTCAAGGAGGAGAGATTTGTGTGGATGGGTTGAGGATTAATAAGCTTCAGTTAAAATGGTTAAGATCACAAATGGGTTTGGTGAGTCAGGAGCCTGCTCTGTTTGCGACCACCATAAAAGAGAATATACTTTTTGGCAAGGAAGATGCTGCCATGGAAGAAGTCATTGAAGCTTCCAAAGCTGCAAATGCTCATAACTTCATCTCTCAGTTGCCTCAGACCTATGACACTCAGGTTTTTTTTTTCCATCATTCTATCAAACACCTCACGAGAATACAAATATCGAAGTCAAACTAATATGAGCAGTAATTTGGAAATTAATTTAAATTTCAAACTTAAAATTCGATGTTTATGTCATTATTGTTACATACGTCAATAAATTGATAATAAATTTGATCATGTTTCTTCATTCTTTCTAATATATAAATAAAATGGCCAGTCACCGGAGGCAATTAACAAATATTTACATTATTTAGGACATTTTTTTTGGAACCTGGCCGAAATATTATTAAAAACCACTGCCTATCAAGCTACAAGGCAAGGCAAAAAAACAAACAAATTACAAAATGTTTAGATAGGCAGGTTCCAAAATATCTTTGTTTAGACAATAAATTTATTTATCAACGATAAATTTATTTTTTTGGAACCTGGCCGAAATATTATCAAAATATCTTTGATCATGTTTCTTCATTTTTTTGGAACCTGGCCGAAATATTATCAAAATATCTTTGATCATGTTTCTTCATATTTTTTGGAACCTGGCCGAAATATCTTTGTTTAGACAATAAATTTATTTATCAACGATTCTATCCTGATTCTTTGGATTTATTTATCAACGATGAGATTCTATCCTGATTCTTTGGATCGAAGGGCCATCCTTTATGGATAAATTAATCGGGCAAGATGTGATACAAACACGTTGTTTAATATCTTCCATTTAATATGTGTTACAATAGTCAACTCTAATGTCTAATGAAGTTATAAAAAACTAAGCACAAGACAAAAGAATATTATTGCAATATAAAAAATAAGATAAACTGTACATGAAAACGCTGTTGCACATGATCCACAAGGCAATTAGTCTAATGGGGAAAAGTCCTTATTTCTTAGGGAAGACTTGGAGACCTTGAAGAATAAAAAAATGTTTTGGGTCTCATCAAGTAACAACCTAGGTTTTGCATAATTTCATAGATCGAAGAAGGTTTTTTCAATTAATATAATAAAAAAGATTAATTATTTATTTATACAATAACCACGTTTTTTTTCTTTTAGTTCCTCAAAAATATTTTTGATAAGAAATATACGACAATTTATAATTGACCAGTCTAATCAATCAGTCATGTTAACCTGTAATTAGTTATGAGCACATTGTGTTACAGTTTTATAAAACAGATTGGAGACATGTCTAAAAAAATTAACAAGCATTTGTAGCGTCATACTCATACGTGGTTTCATGTTGGCAAGTTGCATAAATCAGTTGTTGTTACAGATTATATATGAAGATAAACATTGTTGAGTAAATTAAAATAAAATGAAAATATAGTAAAAAAGTTGCATACTGCATAGACAAGCAATTTGTTTAAACGTTACGCTTGTTTATCTTTATAGTATTTACTTTAAATATTAATTGAAATTATAGTTCATTACCATTTGTATAACTAATGTATCTATTGTAAATAATAGGTGGGAGAAAGAGGAATCCAGATGTCGGGTGGGCAAAAACAAAGAATTGCTATTGCTCGTGCAATTATCAAGTCGCCTCGTATTCTTCTTTTGGACGAGGCGACAAGCGCATTAGACTCTGAATCAGAACGAGTCGTTCAGGACGTACTTGATCATGCGTCTGTTGGTCGAACGACAATAGTCATAGCTCATCGCCTTTCTACAATTAGAAACGCCGACATGATAGTGGTGGTCCAGGATGGCCAGGTGGTCGAGTTTGGCCACCATGACCACCTCATTCAACTTGAAAATGGTTTCTACACATCCCTCGTTCGCCTCCAAGAAACTAAACAAAATGATGAACCATGTAATCCTTCCTCTTCCCCATCCCCATCAGGACCTTCATCGGTCTCCTCCACATATGATGTCCACAACACGAGCAACCGTCGAAGGTCAATTAATGTGAGCAGCTCAAACTTGATCAACCATGGTGGAGAAAACAAATTTGCTTCACAAAAGGACCAAGTATTTCCAGTACCTTCTTTCAAGAGGCTTTTAGCAATGAACATTCCTGAACTTAGGCAGGCGTTGTGTGGGAGCGTGGGTGCCATTCTATTTGGAGCAGTTCAGCCAGTATATGGTTTTGGAATGGGGTCTATGATATCGGTGTATTTCTTGGTTGATCACGATGAGATTAAACACAGCACAATGATTTATTCATTGTGGTTTGCGAGTCTAGCAGTTTTCACGATGACAATAAACATCATTCAACATTACAATTTTGCAGCCATGGGTGAGTACTTGACCAAGAGGGTCCGCGAAAAGATGTTGTCAAAGATACTCTCATTTGAAATCGGGTGGTTCGATAAGGAAGAAAATTCAACCGGAGCCCTCTGTTCCAGACTTGCTAACGATGCAAATGTGGTATGCAATTCATGATTTATTTCATGTTATTAACAATAACAGAACCTTACATATAAAAAATAATTTTGTAAAATCATTTATTATTTAATTATAGGTTTGTCAATATTTGTTAATTAAAGTGAATGTCAATGATGATTTTGTAGGTGCGATCTTTGGTGAGTGATCGATGTTCACTTCTAATTCAAACATTCTCTGCTGTGACGGTTGCTTTCATATTAGGGTTGGTGATCGCATGGAGATTAGCGTTAGTTATGATCGCTGTTCAGCCGATTGTAATTATAGGTTTCTATAGCAAACGAGTTTTGTTAAAAACCATGTTACAAAAAGCCATGAAAGCACAGGAAGAAAGTAGCAAGCTCGCAGCCGAAGCGGTCTCGAATTTGCGCACAGTTACTGCATTTTCATCTCAGCCACGAATCCTGAAGATGCTCCAAGTAACCCAAAAAGCACCGATGCGAGAAAGCATTCGACAAGCATGGTATGCTGGATTTGGGCTCGCATTTACTCAAAGTCTTATTCCTTGTATTTGGGCTCTAGACTTTTGGTATGCTGGGAAATTGATTAGCTGGGAAATTGATTAGCGCCGGTCATCTTGGCGCCAAAGCGCTTTTCCAGACGTATTTCATCTTAGTAAGCACAGGCAAGGTGATTGCGGATGCTGGGACCATGACAAACGACTTAGCCAAAGGGTCTGATGCGGTGCAGTCTGTGTTTGCAGTTTTAGACCGTCACACATTGATAGAACCTGAAGACCCTGATGGTGAAATTCCTAAGATCATTATAGGCCACATAGAGATACGCGATGTGGACTTCGCGTATCCTGCTCGGCCTGATGTCATGATATTTAAAAGGTTCTCAATCGATATTGAAGCTGGGAAATCAACTGCATTGGTGGGACAAAGTGGGTCTGGGAAATCAACCATCATTGGGTTGATCGAACGTTTGTACGACCCTTTGAAAGGAGTTGTCAAAGTTGATGGAAGAGATATAAGGTCGTATCATTTGAGAACCCTTAGGAAATATATCGCACTTGTAAGCCAAGAGCCTGCTTTATTCGCTGGTACTATTCGTGAAAAGTTAGTGAATCAGAAGTCATTGAGGCTGCCAAAGCAGCCAATGCTCATGATTTCATTGCGGTTTTGAAAGACGGATATGATACACGGTGTGGTGATCGAGGGGTACAACTCTCCGGAGGACAAAAACAACGTGTTGCAATAGCTCGTGCCATATTGAAAAACCCAACGGTTTTGTTACTGGATGAAGCCACAAGTGTACTAGATGGTCAATCGGAGAAAGTAGTTCAGTATGCATTGGAGCGAATGATGGTGGGGAGGACTAGTGTGGTGGTGGCTCACCGATTGAGTACCATAAAAACCTGTAACACGATTGCGGTTTTGGAGAAAGGGAAGGTTGTCGAAAAAGGTAATCATAGTTCGTTGTTAGCGAAAGGGCCCAATGGAGCTTACTACGGGTTGGTTAATCTTCAAAATCCTAATTTCGGATATTGATTAACTAAAGCTTGGTGGAAAATTGGAGGGGTTTTGGTTTGAAGATCGTGAGTGTTGAAGTAAAATAATTTTGACACGTGAAATCTGATAACGGTTTGTACGTTTGTTAAGCACATATCATTTTGTAACACAAAATGGATTTGAAATAGTAAATATATGTGATATATTTGTAACGAGTAAATACGTTAAATAATCCAAGTTGTTCGTGACCATCAAATGATATAGTGAAAGTTGGTCGCGTTTTTTAATTTTTGTAGTTATATTTTTACATAGTGATGATTAGACATGCCAATATATATATATATATATATATATATATATATATATATATATATAAAAGATCAAACTACTCTCAAATGTTTATTGTTGTCTTTATTGTTGTTGTGGTTGTTATAATATTATCTGGCCGTCATGACGGTTGGTTAGTGAGAGAGCCTAAAACGGTTTTTAGAAACAACAAACATGCCATAAAGTATGTATTTTGCCTGTGTGTTTTTTAAGAATCTTTATGTCATTTGTGACTTTTGGCTATGATTAACTATTAGGAAATCGAAAGGAAATGGTCTGGCATTGATCGCACTACATCTACTCATGTTTTTCGCACTTTTATGATTTTTAAAATTGTACTCTGATGACTATTTTACCATGACATATTTTTGGATGGTTTGTTATGAATATTTGATGGTTTAGGTTGAATTAAAAATGAAATTTTTATCTATGATTTTTGAGATGTTACAATTACCTAAAAAATAAAAAATAAAAATAGAATAATGACATAAAAATCCTTAAGTTTGTAAGTTTTTGTCGGTTTTACCCTTTTTCGGATTTTAGGTTCATTAAAACCGGATGTTTACAATTACCTAAAAAATAAAATAGGATAATGACATAAAAATCCTTAAGTTTGTAAGTTTTTGTCGGTTTTATCCTTTTGCGGATTTTTGGTTCATTAAAACCGGATGTTTGCAACTTTTTTTTTTCAATTTTACCATCTGATTTATTAAAACACCTATGTTTGGTATAAATTTTCGGTTTTACCATTTTTTTTGTTCATAAAAACCCTTAAGTTTGGTTTTCTGATTCATTAAAGTCCTTAAGTTTGATAGAAATTTTCAGTTTACCGATTAATTTGCAAAAAGAATAAAATTGAAAAAAAAAACTATATATTACAAATTTGAAACATATTGGACCTAAAATACGATTTTATATAAAACCCACAAAAACTTACAAACATAAATATATTTTTTAGAACATTTGGCCAATAAAAATTACCCACAAAACCGTCTCTTTCTTTTTCGTTCATGGAGATACAAATAAGAGATATATAACTTTTGTTTCTTCAAAACCACAACCACAATCCTTGTTTGACTGTTTACACAGAGGGAAAACTTTTCAAACAATGAAAAGTGACTTGTCCCACTCACAACAAGGAACATCTTAAAAAGAATAAAATAAGATTGTTTACAAAATTTCCTATCGTAAGAAAAAACCTAATTTCATCTCTTAAGAGTTCAATGGATTGTCACATCAACATTCCACTAATTATACCATTTAACCTATTAAACTCTACACTTCATTAAACTCTTAAGAGTTCAATGGATTTCCACATCATTATTTTAATTTTTTTTATAAATAATATTAATAAATACAACTAGAATATTACATTAATTAGAAATTCAAAGTTACAATTACTAAATATTAATTAAAGATTACAATTTAGAAATTAAAAGTTACAAATAATATACTAAATAAAAAGTACAATATCTAAAATACAAATTTTACTTCATATTGTATTTTATTTTAATCTCGTCACAAAGGTTTCTCCAAATTTCACGTCCATCTTCCGACATGGTACAGGGATCCATGAAAATGATTGAAATTTCATCATTCTTTACCTTTTCTTCTTTAATTTTCATCTTTCTTTCTTTCAATGCATTCTTCATATCCAAAGAGTTTTGATAGCGTTCAAAAGTCTTTTTATTTTCTTCTATATGTTTTTCAAGTATTTCATCAAGCCTATTACCAGATGACGAAGTGGAATTGGTAGCTTTCCCTTTTGTTGCATTCCTACCAATTGGACGAGTTGTAACTTAATCATTATCCAGGTTAATGAAAGATTATGTATTTGATGAAGACATAGATGCCCCAGATGCAGTGCTTGAACCTTTACATTTCTGTTCATTTTTAACGATATTCCAAATATGTTCGTGCCTAGAATCGGCACCATATCTAGCATGATAATGCTCAAAAGTTGCACGTTAAAGATCATCCTCAGACCATCCACTGAGGTGTTGACTTTTCAACACTATATACATTTGATTAAATGCAACTGCAAATGGGTTCATGTAATGCCAATGCGTTTTGAGGTTGGCTTGAGTTCTTGCAACGTTCGACGTGTTGCTTTTTTCATAGTACACACTAATTCGTCGCCAGAACTCTTTATCACGTTGTTGACTTCCAGTAATGCTATCTTCTGAAATTTGTAGCCAAGCTTTTGCCAACAACATTTCTTCTTCTTTGCTCCAGTAGGTTTTTTTATTTTTTTTGTCGTTTGTTGGTAGGAGTTTCTGTTGGTGTTGGCTCATTTTCTGGAATATGGGGAGGATCCGGGCTGGTAGAATCTGGGTATGCATTTTGGTATGAATGTTGTGAATGATTATTTGGATTTGGGTATGGATATTGTGGATAATTGTTTGGACTTGAATATGGATATTGTAAATGATTGTTTGGATTTGGGTATGGATGTTGTGGATGATTGTTTGGATTTTCGGGATCATAAGAAGATAACAAGTGTGTATAGTAATTTGGATTCATGATTGGTGTATCAGATGGTTGGTAGGTGTGAATGAGAATATAATATTTCCGTCTTTATTTATAGAGTTGAACATCTTGTAAGCATTTGCCTTTAACTTGAATTTCACTTTACTTTAATTTGAATTTCATTTGACTCTAATTTCAATTTCATTTGACTCCAATTTCAATTTCATTTAACTTTAATTTGGATTTCATTTCACTTTAATTTCAATTTCATTTGACTCCAATTTCAATTTCATTTAACTTTAATTTGGATTTCGTTTCACTTTAATTTCAATTTCATTTTACTTTAATTTCAATTTCATTCGAATATAATTTGGATTTCATTTTAATTTAATTTGAATTTCATTTGACTCTATATTTTTGCTATAAAAGAATACAACCTTTTTATTATTTCATACCTACCAATTCAAACTATTTCTTGTATCTTTCTTATACGATGTCATCATCATCCTCAGATGATTCTGCTTCTGAATTCATAATCAACCATCTCACAAGTAATTCTACATTTCAACTATATAAGGAGCTAAAATGCTTGGAAGCAGAACAGTCAGATGCTGAAAGTTCAAGACGTCCTCGGCAAAGTCGAAGATATATAGATAGAAATCATGAAGAAGAGCATAAACGTCTTTGGAAAGATTATTTCGATGAGCATCCTGTTTTCCCACCTCAAACGTTTAGACGAAGATTTCGAATGAGGCGAGAACTATTTGTTCAAATAGTTAACGGTATCTCTAACCATTCTATTTATTTTCAGCAAAGAAAAGATGTTTTAGGAAACAATGGTCTTTCCCCTTTACAAAAATGCATTGTTGTATGGCACAACTAGTGACCTCTTTGATGAATACATACAAATTGGTGAATCAACTTCAATCGAATGTCTACAAAACTTTTTTTGATGTGTGAATGAGGTTTATTCAAGCCATTATTTGAGAAAACCTAATGCTAATGACATCCAAAATTTAGTACAAAAACATTCAGAAAAGCACGGGTTTCCTGGTATGCTTGGAAGTATTGATTGCATGCATTGGCCTTGGAAAAATTGCCCTGTTGCATGACAAGGTCAATATACTCGAGGTGATCAAGGTTGTCCAACAATTATGTTGGAAGCAGTTGCATCACTAGACCTTTGGATATGGCATGCATATTTTGGGGTTGTCGGGTCTAACAATGACATTAATGTACTTAACCAGTCACCGTTATTCAATGATGTATTACAAGGTTATGCTCCTGAATGCAATTTTACTGTTAATAGAAGAACATACACAAAAGGATATTATCTTGCAGATGGTATATATCCTGAATGGGCTACAATGGTTAAAAGTTTTCCACATCCGGCTGACCCAAAAAGGATCAAGGTTAAAGAAATGCAAGAGGCTGCAAGAAAGGATGTGGAGAGAGCATTTGGTGTTCTTCAATCTCGTTGGGCAATTGTACGAGGTCCAGCAAGATCTTGGCAACTTAAAAACATAAAGGATATAATGTATACATGCATTATATTACATAATATGATCGTAGAAAATGAAGGAAATGCAATTAGTAATTGGTCAGATGATGTTGATCCTCCTATACGTGTGAATCGAGGACCTGTCGAAGAAGTTCAGTATCAAATTCAAAGAAACTCTGAACTACGTGATAATGCAGTACATCATGCTCTTCGACATGATTTAATGGAGCATATTTGGGAACGTTTTATTAATATGTAATATCACTATGTTGTATTATAATAAATAAGATGTTATCTTTTTAAAATGTTTTTAAGATTTATATATTTTTCTATTGTTTAGAATAAAAAATATGAACTAACTTAATAAATTAAATTATTGGAATATAAAATAAAATAAAGTATTATATATATATATATATATATATATATATATATATATATATATATATATATATATATATAGTTTGTTTATTGCAAAAAAAAATATTAAATATTACTTTCTATATAAATTGAGAAAAAAAACAAAAAAAAATAAAGAAAAAATAAGTTTTTATAATAAATTGAGAAAAAAAAACCATACCACCGTTGAATGGGATTAAACCTCCCATTCAATCAACCCACTCCACAATGCTTTGTATATTCATTCAATGTTAAGATTTACGGAGTCTTGAACAAATTGACAAGTTCCTAAAAGTTCAAGGGCCATAAATGAAACTTGGAAATATTAAACAATTGAATATGAAATGGACGATGCAATTATGGAGCACACCTTTTGAATTCATTTGTTGGACTGTCAAAGTTTTGGACGGCAAATAATTGGACGGTGGAAAAAATTGTCAAACACATGCATGAGAATTATTTTTTCAAACTATGCGGCAATCTTGTGCATATTGCGGCTCACAAATATACCTATATATATGCATGTATGTTTTGCATATTTTGTGTGCAAAAACTTGAGAGAAAATCAAATGTAGAGTGTCAAGCCAATTGTAATCTTGTGAGTTTTAATAAAATTCTCTAGTTGCAACCCGTGGACGTAGGATTTACACCGAATCCGAACCACGTAAAATCCTTGTGTTCTTTATTGCTTTATTTTCTCGTTTCGTTTGTGAGTGTGTGATAGTGTTTCCGCTGCGTGTACCCTGTCTCAATTCCTAACAATTGGTATCAGAGCCTGGTTAGCGAGGTTTTGGAGGGTACGATCGTTTTTTCTGTCACACACGAGTGTACCTAATTTTTTTTTTTGTTTGCCGTAATGGCTGAAGACAAGGTTATAATCGAAAGGTTCAATGGTTCTGATTTTAGCTGGTGGAAAATGCAATTAGAAGCATTGCTATGTCAGAAAGACTTGGACGTGGTACTCGGAGACAAACCGGAGAAAATGGAAAAAGCTGCTGAAGATGCGTGGAACTCAAAGGACAAGAAAGCCAAGGCGGTTATTACATTGTCGTTGACGAAGAGCGTTGCTTTCAACATCATGAATGAAACCACGGCGCGTGGTATGATGGAGGCTCTTTCAAATATGTATGAGAAACCATCGGCGGCTAACAAGGTGTTCTTGATGAAGGAGATGTTCACTACAAGGATGAATGAGGAAGGCTCAGTTACGGTTCACATTAACAATCTAAATTCAATTTTGTCCAGATTATCATCTGTGGGAATTAAATTTGATAATGAGACTCAAGCTTCGCTGCTACTAGCTTCTCTACCTGATAGCTGGTCCGGAACAGTTATTTGTTGTTACAAGTTCCGTGGGGACCAGTGGTATGACTTTTGAAGGGGTTAGAGATTTGGTTCTAGGCGAGGATATCAGACGCAAGAATCAAGGTGGATCTTCCTCTTCTGATTTATTAAATGTCGGAAGAGGTAGAGGGAATAGCAGGAATAGTGGGAGCAGTGGGAGTCGGGGAAAAAGTTCTTCTAGAACTTTGAAGAATGTGAAATGTTGGAACTGTCAAGAAGTGGGACATGTTAAGAGTCAATGTCCAAAGAAAGAATTGAACATTGCTGATGCTGAGAATTTTTCTGGGGATGATGCATTGTTACTCAGTATGGAAAGTTCTGTGGACTCTTGGGTCATGGATTCAGGGGCTTCGTTTCACGCCATGGACAACGGGGAAACGATGGTGAATCTAAAAGAAGGAGATTTTGGGAAGGTACGATTGGCAAATGACGAGATGCTTCAAGTAACGGGCATGGGAGATATTGATCTAGTTACTTCATTAGGAACTACATGGAGCCTGAAGAATGTCAGGGTTATTCCGGAGCTGAAGAAAAAATTGATTTCTGTTGGTCAGCTGGATAAACAAGGACTGGAAGTAAGGTTTGGTGGTGGTAAATGGATGGTGGTCAATGGTAATTCGGTGATTGCTCAAGGTTTGAAGCGTGGGTCATTGTATATGGTTGAGGTACCTGCTGAGGGAAGTATGACCATCCCGATTAAGCAAAACAAAATCTGGTTCGCTAAATCTACTGCTAAGAGAGTTCATTTTGCAAACATGAATTCTGGAGCCAAGGGGATGTTAGCTGAACGAGTCAGAAATTCTAAACCATTCAGGGGATTCTGTGACAGTGGGAGCACGGGGTGTGTCCCGGGTACAGTTACAAAGAGCTGTTGGGTTTTGAAGACTAAGACTGGAAAATTCTCTCTTGTTGGAAGTTTGCAAAGTTTGGAGATTGTTAGTGGTCCTCGGTGTATCTCTGGATCTGGTGGAGTGTCCAAACCGGTTGAGACAGAGGATGAGTCGGTGGTGGGATTAGCCACGACTGAGTTGGAGCTAGTGGGAGCTTCAACTGGCCCTTCTAGTACTTGAAGATGAGGGGCGGCTGCAATTAGAGAAATCAGACTAAGTTTTAGCTTGTTCTTTGAAACTGGAAGCTTGAAGGACTTGGTTGTTTTTTAAGATTACTGGAGTAATTGAGAGTTGAATGGCGGAGAAAGACTAATTTGTTCAAGTCTCCAAGTGGGAGATTGTTAAAATTTATGGAGTCTTGAACAAATTGACAAGTTCCTAAAAGTTCAAGGGCCATAAATGAAACTTGGAAATATTAAACAATTGAATATGAAATGGACGATGCAATTATGGAGCACACCTTTTGAATTCATTTGTTGGACTGTCAAAGTTTTGGACGGCAAATAATTGGACGGTGGAAAAAATTGTCAAACACATGCATGAGAATTATTTTTTCAAACTATGCGGCAATCTTGTGCATATTGCGGCTCACAAATATACCTATATATATGCATGTATGTTTTGCATATTTTGTGTGCAAAAACTTGAGAGAACATCAAGTGTAGAGTGTCAAGCCAATTGTAATCTTGTGAGTTTTAATAAAATTCTCTAGTTGCAGCCCGTGGACGTAGGATTTACACCGAATCCGAACCACGTAAAATCCTTGTGTTCTTTATTGCTTTATTTTCTCGTTTCGTTTATAAGTGTGTGATAGTGTTTCCGCTGCGTGTACCATGTCTCAATTCCTAACATTCAACTGCCACATAAGCCTTTTTTTCTCATTAAACTCTCCATTGAATAACCATTGGAGATGGCCTAAGACTTCGTTGTCGTGTTTTTCGGTAAACTTTAATTTATAAATCAAAACATTTTTTTTTCTCTTCTTAAACAAAAAATAAAACTTGTCTTTTCTATAAAATAAGAGCAAAGTAACTTTTCAATATATAAAAAAACTAGTAATATTTTATAAAACTAATAACCATTATTTTATGAAAATAGTTATCTTATATGAATGATTTACCCACTTCAATATTTCAAAATATATTGGAAAATGCTATCATTTGAGATTATTATGATAAATAATAATCTACATTTCGATGTTTTTGCATGCTTCACGAGGTGATCACTTGTCACGTTATATCTCCGATTTGATATCAAAATAATGATCAATTTGTTGACGTGTAAAAAAAAGGAAAAATACAAAATAAACTTGTTATTTATGGTCAAAATTAAAATAAGTTATTAAATTAAGTGGTTTTTAGTTGGGAAAAAAAAAACGCACTTCATCATGGTAACCTTCTAAGAGACAATTAGATGTCACTGTGTGATTTTTTCAAAATATTATGCTTTTAATAGAAAAAATATAATGTTTAAGCAGTAAAAACACAACAAAATATAGTGGGTTTTGTCGATTTAGCTTTTTTCACAAACATTGTTAAATCTATCCATATTTTATCTAAAAAAGTCGAAAATAACCTCTCTTTTTTTTTTTTTTTTTAAATCACCGACTACCCTATTACAAATATATGCATTTTAATGAACATTCCGCTTGCCTTGTGCAGCTTTCACTCTGGACAGGCTCAGAACTTCTATCAATATGAGTAAACAGAGCAAAGTCAGCAGCAGTGGATCATTCCGATCGATTTTCATGCATGCCGACGCTGCCGACATGTTTCTGATGGCTCTTGGTTTCTTAGGTGCCGTCGGCGATGGAATTGTGGTGCCGACGACGCTTTATATCACCAGCACCATCATGAACAACATTGGCGACTCCCCTTCTTTTTCCCCGAATGTCTTAACTGACGAAATCAACATGGTCAATATCACATTAATAATATATCAATTAATTAGCGTCCAAGAACTAACTCTGTTTTAATTTCATGTCTACAGAATGCAGTATATCTTTGTTTCATGGCTATCGGAAAATGGATAGCATGTTTTCTTGGTAGGTTCTGCTCCATTTCCATTTCCTTTCATTCCTATCAAAACAGAGATAAATATACTCAACATAAAACTCATGAGTTTTGTTGCAGAGGGGTATTGCTGTGCAAGAACAGTAGAGAGGCAACCATCAAAGTTGAGGTCGGATTATTTGAAAGCGGTTTTAAGGCAAGAAGTGGCTTATTTCGATTTGAATGTTACAAGCACAGCAGAGATTATTACAAGTGTTTCCAGTGATAGTCTCATCATTCAAGAAGTCATTAGCCAAAAGGTACGTTATCCATGGTGATTCACTCAAAAAGGTTTGATTTAAAATGTAACTTCATGGGGAAGCAAATTTACAAAAATGCAGGTGCCAATGTTTGTGATGTATGTGTCGCTTTTTTCTGGGGCATATGTTGTGTCTTTTATGATGCTATGGAGGCTAGCGATTGTTGCGCTTCCATTTGTTATTGTTTTCTTTATACCTGGTTTGATTTATGGGAGGGTTCTGATGAGGTTATCAAGAAAGATCAGGGAGGAGTATAATAAGGCTGGTGTGGTGGCAGAACAGGCGATTTCTTCCGTGAGGACTGTTTATTCTTTTGTGGGTGAAAATAAGACGATAACAGAGTACTCTGATGCTCTTGAAGGAAGTGTGAAGTTGGGATTAAAGCAGGGTTTGGCTAAAGGAATAGCGATTGGCAGCAATGGTGTGTATGCAATCTGGTCTTTCTTGTGTTGGTATGGTAGTAGGATGGTAATGTATCATGGAGCAAGAGGAGGAACTGTGTTTGCTGTTGGAGCTCTCATTACTCTTGGTGGAATGTAAGTTTCTTTGTTTCCACTTCCTCCTCAGTCCTCTCTAACAATATTCTATTTTTTACACCAACTATACATTTTATGCAAAATGAAATTTTCAATTATATTCTTTTTTAAGATAATTAATTGCAGTGGCGAATCTAGAACAAAAAATCACGTGGTTCATAAATTAAGTGAGGCCAATAAAAAAAAATCAACAACACTTTTGGGGTCGGGTCGGGTCGGCTCATGTACCTTAAAAGAACTGAATCAGTTCAATCGGCTCATGTACCTTGTGCCACTGATTAAAAAATTTAAAAAACCGATTGAAATATAACTGAAAAATATGTACGATTTAACGAAAAACTAGTTGATTATTAGTCCATTGATAAAGCGGCGAACGGAGAGTGAGAGTATTTGGCATGTGGGCTTTTATTTTATTAGAACAACTTATTTATTTATTAATATTTTGAGAGTGCCGATTAAGAGTGGTTCACTTTTTGTTATCAATCTCATAATTTAAAATAACAAATTGCCTTAATAATTTATATATTTCTCTTTTTAAAATGGTTTTTAAGAAAAAATTTTAAAAAACAAACTCAAGGTATGTCCTTTATTTTTTCTAAGATAGTTCCTAATTTTTCTAGTGTATAAATTCTAAATGAAATTGAGAACTTAGGTAGGTCCTAGCATATGGTGGATACGCTATGATGGATACGCCCCTGATTAATTGTAAGGGTAACCACTTATACGTTTTGTCACTAAACTTATTTTTGTGTTCGATATACCATTGAACTTGTTTAAACTGTTCAAAAATACCAATATAACCGGGTATAATTAGCTTTGTAAATTTCTGGCCATCTTTGATGTTTCTGGTGGTCATCTTCTCAGGCAAAGCATGGAGTTTCAGTATGAGTTTTCCGGCCATCTTTGATTTCTCAGGCAAAGCATGGATTTTTAGGAGAATTTCTAAAAGTCTTTATGAAATCGAAATGCTTTCTGAAAATGAATTTGTGGATGTGTGAGGCCCTGAGTTTTTTGAGAATTGAAACCCTTTCTTGAGTTCCTGAAGTTGTTTTCTTGATATTGTTCTTGATTACCCGATAAACAAAATCCATATCTTGAAAAACTAGGAATGAGAAACACTAAGTCATAATGTTCTTAAGATTTTTACAAATAGTCCTTCTATTTCCTAACAATTTAAGTTCAATGGCCATTTGCACCCTTTTTACTATATTTTAATGTGAAAAATAAAGATATATTTGAGATGGTTTTATGGGTGTGATACCTTATTTACAATTTTACATTACACTTGCATATCATTTTGGTATAAAATATGGATTTTAAGAATAACCTAATAAATTCAATAATGACAGATCATTAGGTTCTGGATTATCGGACTTGAGGTACTTCACGGATGCAATGGCTGCCAGTGAGCGTATAAGAGAAGTGATCAAAAGAGTTCCGGAAATTGATTCAGACAACATGGAAGGGGAGATATTACAACAAGTCTCCGGAGAAGTTGAATTCAAGAACGTAAAGTTTGCGTACCCATCAAGGCCGGAATCAATGATATTCAAAGACTTCAACTTAAAAGTTCCAGCAGGGAAGACGGTGGCGTTGGTAGGTGGGAGTGGATCTGGTAAATCGACTGTGATTGCATTGTTGCAGAGGTTTTATGATCCTCAAGGAGGAGAGATTTGTGTAGATGGGGTGAGAATTGACAAGCTTCAACTAAAATGGCTAAGATCACAAATGGGGTTGGTGAGTCAGGTGTTAGGATCGAGACACTTAACACACGACTCTAAACACACACACAGCTCACGAAAAACAAGAACACAAGGATGAACACGAGGGATTTAACGTGGTTCGGTCCTTCTCCGACCTACGTCCACCGGTAACTAGGAATTTACATTTCTTGGTGCTAATCTGCACTCTTTCTGTGTTACACTAGATACAAGTTTTACAAATGAAAGGAAGAAGCCTATTTATAATATTTTGAGTCGTAAGCCTTTTCTTCCATTCACATACATGTGAAATTGATAAGGCCACCATTGTTGAAATTCTGCAGTCGTAACAATTTTTCCATGTTCACATGAGAGTCCTTGTTTCCTGCCACTTCTTTTGACTAACCCAATGGCTTCACACTCAACAATCTCCCACTTGAAGCCACGAAACAATCTTCACCATTGCTTCAACTGTGTATCTGTATTTCTGTAAAAACTTTTGATCTTGACTCCTTCCTAGTTACCCTGGCCTTCTCTTCAATTTACCTGAAGGCTAGTTGAAGCTTCCGTTAGCTCCAACACATCAGTCATGGCTAAGTCTGCCACTGAACTGTTCTCTGTCTCCACCGGCTCCCACTGAAATGAACTGCCCGATCCTGGAACATCCTGAGAACAAACGACACTCTCCATGTGAAGCAGATAATCTGGAGAGACTTTTACAGATGGAATACTGGTTCTCTTAACCCACTGTGTTCTGGGTATTCTAGCTGAAACAAAGCCCATGCTCCCACTGCTATGAATGCCCTTGACTGGTTTTTCTGAACCGTTCCAAACACGTTCAACCTGAATCTGACCTGTGACTCTGGGTTTGCCATCTGCAAAGCAAACCTTCTTCTGTCCACAAGACTCTATGAACCGGATTTTGTTTTTCTTCTGAACTGGGACGGTTACTCCCTCAGACGGTAAACTGACCATATATAATGAACCCCTCTTATATCCACGAGCGATCACAAGATTTACTTTGATAACCTTCCACTGCCCATTCATGAACTTAACCTCGTGTCCCTGTTCATCCAACTGCCCAACAGAAATCAACTGTTTCTTCAGACTTGGAATTACCCGGACATCCTTCAAAGTCCATGGACCAACTGGAGTCTTCAAAACTAAGTCACCTATGCTCGTCACATCAAGAACCTCATCATTCGCCAGTCTTACCTTACCAAAATCTCCTTCTTTTAGATTCTGCAGTGCTTCACGGCTGTGGGTAGCGTGAAATGAAGCACCCGAATCCATAACCCAGGAATCCACATTGCTCTCCACACTACAGATCAAAACATCATCATCTGAATGGTCTACTGCAACGTTAACTTCTTTCTTGTCTTTTGGACATTGATTCCTGAAATGTCCAACCTCTTTACAGTTCCAACAAGTCACATCATTTCGAGTCCTCGACTGACTCCTTCTCCTGTTCCCGCTCCCACTACCTCTGTTATTTCTTCTACCTCTGACCGCATTCAATTGTTCACTTGATGATTCCCCGGAATTTCTTCGTCTGACGTCTTCGCCTAGAATTAAATCCCGAATTCCCTCAAAAGTGAGCTCTTTCGATCCTGCAGAACTAGTAACGGCTGTAACTGTTCCGGACCAACTGTCAGGTAATGATGATAACAGTAGTAAAGCTTGAACTTCGTCCTCAAATTTTATTCCCACTGACCCAAGTCTGGATAAAATCGAGTTCAAATTGTTGATGTGTACTGTAACTGAACTTCCTTCCCTCATCCTCGTGTTGACTAGTTCCCGAATCAGGAAGACTTTATTTGCTGCCGACGGCTTCTCGTACATATTAGACAATGCCTTCATAATTCCCATTGCCGAGGTCTCCTTCAAAATGTTGAAGGCAACATCCTTTGACAACGTCAGTCTAATAAATGCCTTGGCCTTCTTATCCAAAGTCTCCCAGTTTGCCTGTGTCATCACCTCCGGTTTTTCACCTAAAACTGCGTCCAAGTCTTTCTGCACGAGCAAATCTTCAATTTGCATCTTCCACCAACCAAAATCTTTCCCATCAAACTTCTCAATCTGAAGCTTATTGCTTTCTGCCATTTTCTGAAAGATTAGGGGCTAAACTGCAATTTTCTGAAAGTTCAGGGGCTAAACTGCAATTTTCTGAAAGTTCAGAGGCTAAACTGCAATTTTTCAAATCTGCTACAGTGTTGCTACAGTGTCGTCTTCTCCGGCGGAACTCCGGTCTACAGTGTCGTCTTCTCCGGCCAAACTGGTTTTTCGGTCACTATTCTGGTAACCTTTGACCGGCGATTTGGACGTCTTCCGGTGGTCAAAAAATTCAGAAAAAAATATTTTCGGAATCTTCGGAACGAGACCTTTCCAACGGTATACACCAAAATCGTTTTTGACGAAAAAAAAATTCGACCAAAAACTTAAAATCACCTTCTGGAGCTACAACCTTGCTCTGATACCACTTGTTAGGATCGAGACACTTAACACACGACTCTAAACACACACACAGCTCACGAAAAACAAGAACACAAGGATGAACACGAGGGATTTAACGTGGTTCGGTCCTTCTCCGACCTACGTCCACCGGTAACTAGGAATTTACATTTCTTGGTGCTAATCTGCACTCTTTCTGTGTTACACTAGATACAAGTTTTACAAATGAAAGGAAGAAGCCTATTTATAATATTTTGAGTCGTAAGCCTTTTCTTCCATTCACATACATGTGAAATTGATAAGGCCACCATTGTTGAAATTCTACAGCCGTAACAATTTTTCCATGTTCACATGAGAGTCCTTGTTTCCTGCCACTTCTTTTGACTAACCCAATGGCTTCACACTCAACATCAGGAGCCTGCTTTATTTGCGACATCCATTAAAGAGAACATACTTTTTGGCAAGGAAGATGCCACCATGGAAGAAGTCATTGAAGCCTCCAAAGCTGCAAATGCTCATAACTTCGTCTCTCAGTTGCCTCATACCTATGACACCCAGGTTGTTTTTATCCTTCCATCAAAACACACATAATGATACAAATATCAAACTAATTTGGAAATTAATTTAAATTTCAAACTTAAAATTCAATTTTTATATATGTTATTTTAATCAAGGAGGTGATTAATAGATTTTTACATTAACATACCGAATGTATGGATAAAAGTTTGGTTTAGGAAAAAGTTTTACTTTTGTATATAGATATGTTAAGGTTTTTTGTTTGTTCATGTGCCATCATGAATGTTAGGGAAATAGTTCTCTTATTGCGGATGTTATAAGTTATTTTCATATTTGTTATAAATAATAGGTGGGTGAAAGAGGAGTTCAGATGTCGGGTGGGCAAAAGCAAAGAATTGCAATTGCCCGTGCAATAATCAAGTCGCCCCGTATCCTTCTGTTGGACGAGGCCACAAGCGCACTCGACTCAGAATCAGAACGAATTGTTCACGACGCTCTTGACCGTGTTTCCGTTAGTCGAACAACCATCGTCATAGCTCATCGCCTTTCCACAATCAGAAACGCAGATGTTATAGTAGTGGTCCAAAATGGTCAGGTAGTCGAATCTGGCTCCCATGATCACCTCATTCAACTTGAAAACGGTTTCTACAAATCCCTAATTCGTCTCCAAGAAACCAAACAAAATGATGAACCCCATAATCCTTGTCCACCTGGACCTTCATCGGTCTCTTCAACATACGATGTCCATAAAACCAACGACATGGTTAGCCTTTTGAGTTCTGCAAACTCAGCCAACCACTGTGGAGTAGACAACTTAAGCTCACAGGTTAATAAGGTATTTCCAGTGCCATCCTTCAAGAGACTTTTTGCAATGAACATGCCTGAATTTAGGCAAGCGCTGTGTGGAAGCATGGCTGCGATTCTATTTGGTGCAGTTCAGCCAGTTTATTCTTTCGGATTGGGGTCGCTCATGATGAGATGAAGCACAAAACGATGATTTATTCACTGTGTTTTGCTGGTCTGGCAATTTTCACGATGGTTATCAACATCATTCAACATTACAGTTTTGCAGCCATGGGTGAGTACTTGACGAAGAGGGTCCGGGAAAAGATGTTGTCAAAGATACTCTCCTTTGAAATCGGGTGGTTAGATCAGGATGAAAATGCAACAGGAGCCATATGTTCGAGGCTTGCTAAAGATGCAAGTGTGGTATGTATTTTGTGATTATATTTATTATACATTAGGCATCTCCAACCCAACTCTATAAATAAAGCAAAACTATCGAAAGAGTAAACAATAGAGTACATGTTCTCTAATCCAGCTTTATTTTTTACCTATAAAAGTAGAGTTATGAATGGTATTATTCTAACATTGAAGCTACACTATTAATTTACACTATAAATATAGTTTTAAGTTTAAATTGTTATATTTGGTCCTTCAAGTTTAAATTTGTATATTTCTAATTTATTTAACTTGTTTAATTTGGAGTTTATATATTTTGATATTTTAAATATAATAATTCTTTCAAATGTATTTTAAATTTGTTTGTTTATATATATTTAGTAATATAAGTTATAGAGTTATTGTAACAAAATTATTTTATAAAAATTTATAAAAACCTTGTAATTGAAAGGTTATTTACGAAAATTAAAAAACTTGAACAGAAAAATATACTTGGAAAAAAAGTTGGTTAAGAGATGAATAGCTTTATATTATACTCTATAAAATGTATACAAAATTTAAAGTATAGTCGGAGTTTTTAAAAATGCGAAGAGAACCTTGCATAAAACGAGACTGACTTGCAAAATAAAAGGTGTCAAAGCACTATGGTTCTGTTTGTGTCAAGTCAATTTTTATTCTATTATAGGCTGTCAGTTTTTATTAGAACATTATTTTTTATTAGAGTAAATGACCGAGAGAGTATGTCAACAATGATTTTGTAGGTGAGATCTTTGGTGGGTGATCGATGCGCACTTCTGATTCAGACGTCCTCTGCTGTAACAGTTGCTTTCACATTGGGATTGGTGATCTCGTGGAGACTAGCGTTAGTTATGATTGTTGTTCAACCGATTGTAATTATGTGCTTCTATAGCAAACGAGTTTTGTTAAAGAACATGTCACAAATAGCCATGAAAGCACAAGAAAAAAGTAGCAAGCTCGCAGCCGAAGCTGTCTCGAATCTGCGCACTGTCACTGCCTTTTCATCACAAACACGAATCCTCAAAATGCTCCAAGAGACCCAAAAAGCACCAATACGTGAAAGCATCAGGCAAGCTTGGTATGCTGGATTTGGGCTTGCCTTTTCTCAAAGCCTTATGCCATGTATATGGGCTCTAGACTTTTGGTACGCTGGGATATTAATCCGTGATGGTCAACTTGGCGACAAAGCACTTTTCCAGACATATATTATCTTAGTGAACACCGGCAAGGTGATTGCGGATGCCGGGACCATGACAAACGATTTAGCCAAAGGGACTGATGCGGTGCAGTCTGTGTTTGCGGTTTTGGATCGTAACTCCTTAATAGAGCCTGAAGATCTTGATGGTGAGAAGCCTGAGATCATTACAGGCCACGTAGAGATACACGATGTGGACTTTGCATATCCTTCTCGGCCTGACATCATGATCTTTAGAGGATTCTCAATTGATATTGAGGCCGGGAAATCAATTGCATTGGTGGGACAAAGTGGGTCTGGGAAATCGACAATTATTGGGTTAATCGAGCGTTTTTACGACCCAATGAAAGGAGTTGTGAAAGTGGATGGAAGAGATATAAGGTTGTACCATTTAAGAACTTTGAGGAAATATATCGCACTTGTGAACCAAGAGCCCGCGTTATTTGCTGGTACTATACGTGAAAACATCATATACGGGGCTTCCGGGGAAGTTAATGAATCAGAGGTCATCGAGGCTGCCAAAGCAGCCAATGCTCATGATTTCATAGCGGTTTTGAAAGATGGATATGCCACGCAATGCAGTGACCGAGGGGTACAACTCTCAGGAGGACAAAAACAACGTGTTGCAATCGCCCGTGCCATATTGAAAAACCCAACAATTTTGTTACTAGATGAAGCCACAAGTGCATTAGATAGTCAATCAGAGAAAGTAGTACAAGATGCATTGGAGCGAATGATGGTGGGGAGGACTAGTGTGGTGGTGGCCCACCGCTTGAGTACCATACAAAGTTGTAACACAATCGCGGTTTTGGAGAAAGGGAAGGTGGTCGAGAAAGGGAACCATAGTTCGTTGTTAGCGAAAGGGTTGAGTGGAGCTTACTACTCGTTGGTTAGTCTTCAAGAGCCTAATTCTCCTTAACATAAAGATTAACTAAAACTTGGTGGAAAAGTGAAGGGGTTTTACTTAGAAGATTGCAAGTGTTGAAGTAAACAATTTTGATGTGTTTTGTGAAATTTGAAGATGTTGTATACTTGCTAGGAATTAAGGTTTGTTAAGCATATCATTTGTAAGGCTGAAATGATAAGTAGTTGATATACTTGTAACTCAAAATACGTCAAATAATCCTAGTTGGTCGTTTTACCGTGTAAATGTTTAGAAATCCCTATGACTTCATGAATACACGTATACATAGGTGATATTCTAGCCAAATTATTGTCTAAAAGATTATTATTCGTGTATGCTATGAATTGTTTCGAAATCCCTATGGCTTCAAGAGAGGTGGTCTTTTATTGATATTAATAAAATCATCTATGTTTGTGTCATGTTGACACAATTTGCACAATCTTACCCGATTAGAAATGATCTAAATGGTGTAATTAAAAAAAGGGAAAAGACATAGGAATAGTTTAAATAGAGGAAAAGACATACGAAAGTAATAAACTTTGTCCTTCATACAAAAGAGATCATTAGACAAGAGGGAGTGGGCTTCGGCCCTTGCCGCACTTGAGTGCCACATCAGCAGGAACACCACCCCCTGGGTGTGGTAGGGGGTGCAGTGCGGCATTCCAAGGGAGCACTCCTTCAAACAATGTGATTAGTTATTTTTTTGTACCTCCTTCTGATTGGTCCTTTTTATTTATTAAAACAAAAATAATAATAATAAATACCCAAGTGTGGCACTACTCATTGGGTGTGGTATGAAACCACACTTTTGTAGTAAAGCTTGGTATGCTGGATTTGGGCTTGCCTTTTCTCAAAGCCTTATGCCATGTATATGGGCTCTAGACTTTTGGTACGCTGGGATATTAATCTGTGATGGTCAACTTGGCGCCAAAGCACTTTTCCAGGCATATATTATCTTAGTGAACACCGGCAAGGTGATTGCGGATGCCGGGACCATGACAAACGATTTAGCCAAAGGGACTGATGCGGTGCGGTCTGTGTTTGCGGTTTTGGACCGTAACTCCTTGATAGAGCCTGAAGATCTTGATGGTGAGAAGCCTGAGATCATTACAGGCCACATAGAGATACACGATGTGGACTTTGCATATCCTTCTCGGCCTGACATCATGATCTTTAGAGGATTCTCAATTGATATTGAGGTCGGGAAATCAACTGCATTGGTGGGACAAAGTGGGTCTGGGAAATCGACCATTATTGGGTTAATCGAGCGTTTTTACGACCCAATGAAAGGAGTTGTGAAAGTGGATGGAAGAGATATAAGGTTGTACCATTTAAGAACTTTGAGGAAATATATCGCACTTGTGAACCAAGAGCCCGCGTTATTCGCTGGTACTATACGTGAAAACATCATATACGGGGCTTCCAGGGAAGTTAATGAATCAGAGGTCATCGAGGTTGCCAAAGCAGCCAATGCTCATGATTTCATAGCGGTTTTGAAAGATGGATATGCCACGCAATGCAGTGACCGAGGGGTACAACTCTCAGGAGGACAAAAACATCGTGTTGCAATCGCCCGTGCCATATTGAAAAACCCAACAATTTTGTTACTAGATGAAGCCACAAGTGCATTAGATAGTCAATCAGAGAAAGTAGTACAAGATGCATTGGAGCGAATGATGGTGGGGAGGACTAGTGTGGTGGTGGCCCACCGCTTGAGTACCATACAAAGTTGTAACACAATCGCGGTTTTGGAGAAAGGGAAGGTGGTCGAGAAAGGGAACCATAGTTCGTTGTTAGCGAAAGGGTTGAGTGGAGCTTACTACTCGTTGGTTAGTCTTCAAGAGCCTAATTCTCCTTAACATAAAGATTAACTAAAACTTGGTGGAAAAGTGAAGGGGTTTTACTTAGAAGATTGCAAGTGTTGAAGTAAACAATTTTGATGTGTTTTGTGAAATTTGAAGATGTTGTATACTTGCTAGGAATTAAGGTTTGTTAAGCATATCATTTGTAAGGCTGAAATGATAAGTAGTTGATATACTTGTAACTCAAAATACGTCAAATAATCCTAGTTGGTCGTTTTACCGTGTAAATGTTTAGAAATCCCTATGACTCCATGAATACATGTATACATAGGTGATATTCTAGCCAAATTATTGTCTATAGATTATTATTCGTGTATGCTATGAATTGTTTCGAAATCCCTATGGCTTCAAGAGAGGTGGTCTTTTATTGATATTAATAAAATCGTCTATGTTTGTGTCATGTTGACACAATTTGCACAATCTTACCCGATTAGAAATGATCTAAATGGTGTAATTAAAAAAGGGGAAAAGACATAGGAATAGTTTAAATAGAGGAAAAGACATACGAAAGTAATAAACTTTGTCCTTCATACAAAAGAGATCATTAGACAAGAGGGAGTGGGCTTCGGCCCTTGCCGCACTTGAGTGCCACATCAGCAGGAACACCACCCCCTGGGTGTGGTAGGGGTGCAGTGCGGCATTCCAAGGGAGCACTCCTTCAAACAATGTGATTAGTTGTTTTTTCGTATCTCCTTCTGATTGGTCCTTTTTATTTATTAAAACAAAAATAATAATAAGAAATACCCAAGTGTGGCACCACTCATTGGGTGTGGTATGAAACCACACTTTTGTAGTAAAGAGTGAGGTGGCGCCCACGTGGCAGTGAAGGGAGTGGAACTTTAGTGGCACCACTCCATCTGGCCTTAAATGAACTTACTTTTTTTGCACGAATTACCTTTAAACATCAAAAATTGTAAATAAAAATATCATTGAGAGCGAGAGTAATGATTTGAATAATGCTAATTTTGCACTTTTTGTCAAGTTGGACATTTGGTCACCAACCTATCTTCTTCTCAATGTTCAAATACACCAGTAAGGAAAGAATCTCCATCACTTTGAACAGAAGCATACCAACAAATTCTCCATTATCCACATCTCTTCTTCCTTAAATTCGCATCTCTAACTCAAAAGCACACATCTCCAAGCCAAATACGATAGTTGATGACACAAACCCTTGTGACTATGTCTATCTTTCTCGAATTTCGACATCATGGACCAAGGATAATCCTGTTAAGTTTTAAGGTTTTCCCTATAAGGCTTCAGGGAGTAGGGGTCGCCAACAACCTCGCTAGCGCGCGCCACCATTACCAAACACCGCCCCTGGCTTGCGCCAAGGGGCTCGCTAAGGCATAGCGAGAGGAGAGAGAGAAGGCGGGGTCAAAGGGGATGGGTTTGAATGCTTTTACCAACTTTTTTTTAAAATGTATATTTTTTATAAAGATATAGTTGTTTTTTTTTCAAAAAAAAATCAATTTTTTACTTCTTATCAACCACTATAAATAAACACATAAACTTTCACATTTCAATACACATAAATATCAATACATCTATCAAAACCTCCATCATTTTATAAAAAATGTCGTCGACGTCATCATCATCATCATCATCATCATCTTCCTCATACAATACTCTTGGGAGTGTATGTGACATCCCCATTTTCACGGCCAGAAAAGACCGATTTTGTTTATGCTTGTTTGAAAATCAGAGTAACATTTTAAATAAAAGTGTTGCGGATGTGGATAGCGACTCATCATGTCACTCTCTGTTTCCCAAGTGAGATTCGGCCCATTCGAATGTTTCCAACGGACTAGCACTAAGTCGACCATATTGCGTCGTAACTTCTTAGTCTTACGGTCAACAATTGCCTCGGGCTCTTCAATCAGCCTCTTGTTCTCATCCATTCTTAATTCTGAGATTGGAATTATGTCGGGAACTTCTCCCGTGAATTTCCTCAGATAACACACATGGAAGGTGTTATGAACACCATCGAGTTCTTCGGGAAATTCCAGCTTGTAAGCTTGGTTCCCAAATCTTATAAGTCCCTTCCCTGATCACCTTGGACTTAGCTTTCCTTGTTTCCCGAATCTTATAAGTCCCTTCCACGGTGAGACTTTAAGCAAAACCGAATCCCCAACTTCGAAGGTCATCGGTCGTCTTTTCTTGTCAGCGTAGCTCTTCTGACGATCCTGAGCTGCTAACATCCTTTCCCTGATCACCTTCAACTTCTCAGCAGTCTCATGGACTATCTCGGGGCCCATATACTGCTTTTATCCGACCTCAAGCCAACAAGATGGCGTACGACACTTCTATCCGTGCAAAGCTTGATAAGGTGCCATCTTGATGCTCGAGTGGAAACTGTTGTTGTAGAAAAATTATACTAGAGGTAAGTGCTCGTCCCAGTTCCCTTGGAACTCGAGGGTACATGCCCTCAGCATATCTTCCAGTGTCTGAATTGTTCTTTCGCTCTGACCGTCAGTCTGCGGATGGTAAGCTGTACTCAGACACAACTTCGTGCCCAATTCCTCTTGTAGACTTCTCCAAAACCTTGACATGAAACGACTATCACGGTCCGATACAATTGTTAGAGGAACACCATGAAGTCTCACAATTTCCTTCACGTAAGCATTTGCAAGCTTATCCATAGACCACCTTTCGTTGGCAGCTATGAAGTGTGCACTCTTCGTGAAACGATCCACGACCACCCAAATCATGTCGTGACCGTTCTTCGTCCTGGGCAGTTTAGTCATAAAATCCATGGTGATGTCTTCCCATTTACCCATGGGTACAGGTAAAGGTTCTAAATTCCCGTATGGTTTCTGATGTTGTGCCTTAACTCTCGCACATGTTATACACTCGGACACATACTTCGCAACATCGAGCTTTATCGTCGGCCACCAGTAGTAGGGTTTTAGGTCCCTATACATTTTAGTGCTACCGGGATGAATCGAGTACATGGTCTTGTGAGCTTCTTCCATCAGAAGATCTCTTATTCCTCCCGTCTTAGGTACCCAAATCCGATCTTGGAATACCTTCAGTCCTTGACGGTTTGTACCGAATACCAACGTCTTTCCCAAACGTTCTTCCTTTCGGTCATTCTTTTCTGAAGCTTCTTCTTGAGCTTTCTTGATACTTTCCACAATTGTCGAGTCAACTTCAATTCTCAATGCTCTTGGCCTTTTCCTTTCAAGATTGACTTTCCGACTGAGAGCATCAGCAACAACATTTGCTTTACCGGGGTGGTAAAGTATCTCACAGTCATAGTCCTTGAGTAATTCTAGCCAGCGTCGTTGTCTCATGTTCAATTCTTTCTGATTAAAGAGATACTGGAGACTCTTATGATCAGTGAAAAGTTTGCACTTTGTACCATAGAGGTAATGCCTCCATATCTTTAAGGCAAATACTACCGCTGCCAACTCCAGATCATGAGTGGGGTAGTTCTTTTCGTGCTCTTTCAATTGTCGAGAAGCATATGCTATTACCTTTTCTCTTTGGGTCAGAACACAACCCAACCCGAATCCCGACGCATCGCTATACACCGCGAAATCTTCAGCCCCATCGGGTAGAGAAAGAATCGGTGCTTCGCATAACTTCTTCTTTAGCTTCTAGAATGCCTCTTCGTGTTTCTCATTCCACGTATATGTAGCTCCTTTGTGGGTCAACGCTGTCAATGGAGCAGCTATCGAAGAAAATCCTTGGATAAATCGTCGGTAATATCCATCTAATCCAAGAAAGCTTCGAATCTCTGTGGGACTCTTTGGACGTTCCCACTTCATCACAGCTTCGATTTTTGCTGGGTCAACCATTATTCCCTCCTGGTTAACCACATGACCCAAGAATTGTACTTCTCGGATCCAAAAATCGCACTTGGAGAACTTTGCATACAACCTCTCCTTCTTCAAGACTTCCAACACTTCTCGTAGATGCTTGTCATGCTCCTCTTGGCTTTTCGAGTAGATCAGAATGTCGTCGATGAACACTATCACGGATTTATCGAGGAATGGTTTACAAACCCGGTTCATCAAATCCATGAATGCTGCTGGAGCGTTAGTTAGTCCAAACGACATAACCAAGAACTCGTAGTGTCCATATCTCGTTCTGAATGCAGTCTTCTTAATATCCTGATCTCTCACTTTCAGCTGATGATACCCTGACCTAAGATCGATCTTTAAGAAGTAGCCCGAACCTTGTAGCTGATCGAATAGGTCATCAATCCTTGGCAAAGGGTACTTATTCTTTACCATTGCCTTGTTCAGCTCTCTGTAGTCTATGCACATTCTCATGCTCCCGTCTTTCTTCTTCACGAATAGCACCGGAGCTCCCCAGGGTGATGAACTAGGTCGAATGAAACCGTTGTCCAACAACTCCTGAAGTTGCGTCATAAGCTCCTTCATCTCCGTCGGTGCTAATCGGTACGGTGCCTTTGCTATCGGTGTTGTACCTGGTAACAAGTCTATCCGAAATTCCACTTGTCTATCAGGTGGTAATCCGGGAAGATCTTCGGGAAAGACTTTCGGATAATCACACACGACTGGTATATTCTGCACCTCTTTCTTTTCCTTCTTAGCATCGATTACGAATGCCAAGTATGATGCACATCCCTTGGACAAACATTTTTTGGCTTTCATCAGGGAGATGATTCCAGAATTTACTCGGCGTTTGTCCTCGTATACCATAAATGACTCTTTTCCGGGTGGGTTTACCCTTACTATCTTCTTTCGGCATTGAATCTCAGCATCGTTGGCGCTAAGCCAATCCATACCCAAAACGATATCGAAACCGTTCAACTCTATGGGTAATAGCTCTTCTTGGAATTCGTTTCCGTTTAGGTCGATGACGATATTCCTAATACGGTTACTAACAGGTACGAACTTGCCACTGGCAACTTCCACAATTAGGGCATTATCAAGTTTTTCTACAGGTAATGCTAATTTCCCACCAAATTTATGCGACACAAAAGAGTAGTTGGCTCCGGAATCAAATTGTATATTGGCAGGCAA